TGTTCACTCACAGTACAAATACTCCGCACTCAGTCACATTCACGTCTCAACATTACGTTTTCTCCAATGTGTTTTTTTTAAATGTTGTCAAGTCTTGAGAAATGTTTTGACCCTCAGGGCCACCGTACCTTAAGAATGATATATATTACATGGGATTATAATTATTGATGCTTTAATATGTTCATCTCTTTAATGTTGCATCTGGTAACTGTTGAGCTCATTTTAATTACAATATATAGTGCCGGTAGTTTAGCCTATGATAACACATCACATTAGCAGCATTAGCAGTAGCAGCAGCAGCAGCAGTACCTTGAGGAAGGGGATGAGGTAGGGCTGTGGGGAGGACTTGAGCTCAGCCTGCAGCCGAGTGGTGAACTCCTCAGGCTCAATCTTTGCATCCTGAACAAACACACGAAGCTCGTCAGGCGGCAGTTAAACACATCAAACAGGAGTAATACTTGAAGTACTGGAGAGCGGATGTGAGCAGGCAGCTTACGAGCAGGTCCTGGACCAGGGCCTTCACATTCTTGGAGGTATCTGGGGAGGGGGAGTTGTGGGACGCCAGCTTGATGAGCGTGGCGAGGAAGTTCTTGCATTTCTTCACGTTTTCTTGCATTTCCTGTTGGGGAGGGAGGCATTAGTGAGCTCGCCGTACAGAAACACCCGACAGGAAGCAGAACGGAACTGACCTGGGACACCACGGTGACTCTTCCAGCGGGCGTGGCGGGGGCAGCGGGCGTCGTGCTGGTCATGGGGGTGGACGGGACCCCGGCGGGCTTAGCCACAGGCGTCCCCCCAGCCGTTATCACCGTCTGGGTCTTCTGAGGGGTCGTCATCTTCACCGACACCGCGGCACCGCCCGGGGCAACCGTGATGGCCTTCTGAGAAACGACAAACACCATCAGGACGTTTGTTTGTTAACTAATGTATTGCTACGAAACATTAGCTAACTAATAACTCATTCTCTTAGAGTAGCTTAGCATCAAGGAGGATGTACGTTAGCCAGTAAACAGCGTCTTACTAACATTAACTTTCTGATGTCACTAGTTAGGTAATGTTAGCAGAACACTATCTCATCATGCTCTAGGGTTAGGGTTAGAGTGCGTCTGAACGCAGCCTCAGCGTGTGACACACACCTGTACAGTGGTGGTGGAGGGAGACTGAACCATTCTGGTCTGAGCGGGGGAGGCCAGCCGGACGGTCTGAGGAGCCTGCAGACAACAGGGAGGAGAACAGATGACTTATGTAACAACAAAGCATCATGGGAAACACAACAGACCAAACATATACACTTATATATCAGATGAGCTGATTGTTATTAGTATTTTTTACTTCTTCTCTGCTTTAACCAACCGTTATTTTCACAGTGTTATTTTCACGGGTTGTGTTTTCTGACAAACACAACCCGGACTAAGCCCCGCTCCCTTTTGCTCTGTTCTCCAATCACAGTTGAGTAAGTCTCGGTCAACTTCCTCCTTTCCTGTTCTTAGGGATGCTATATGCTAAGCTAATCTGGGTTGGAAAGACAAACACATTTTGAAGAAGTGAAAATATAAAATAAACAAATATATAGTCACATCTTAATCTAGCAAATGTTAGCATAACGCTAGC